TTTCATGATAATGACTCAACACAGAGCACAGTCTACTCTATAGCTGAAGAAAAGAGTTGACAAACCTGTGCTGTAATCGTAACTGATGTCGTCACCAGCCTTTTTAAGATATACAGGTATCAAAGAAAGTATGATCACGACTGCAACCCCAAACAAAAGTAGGCAAATGATTAGTCCAGCCACCAAAGGAAGATATGCAGCAAGCCAGCCTCTGAAATAAAACGATAGAAACTGTACATCATTTAGTTCTCGGTAATAGAAAGCGAAAGTAGTATTAATGCTGAGCTGACGGTGTGAGATCTTCGAGTGGAAAATAGTTTTTTGATTGCGACTGTGATCATTTTATCCTTCCTAGCGAGTGGAGTAAATTTCTAACTTGAATTCAATGTATGAACTTTTAGGACTGAGCTATGAACTCCACTTTACTGGCTTCTTGAACTGTTCTGAGGTATTTTGGAAAAAACGAGTGAAGTGTTTTCAATCTGAAAATTTGTAAAAAGATAGATCTCACAGTTACCAGAATGTCGAAAAAGCTTTAGGATAGATCAAGATTTGATTAAAATAGTATTCATGGTACAGCTTGAATGGCTCAGGCATTTAGTCGAAGTTACAGAATTATAAAGCTTTCTATGACCGATTCATTGATCACTGTTTTAATGGAGAAGTGAGTTCGCATTTAGAAATCTTTCCTTCTTATCAATAACCAATTAGTATGTTAGTCGTAATGTTGGCGAATGAAATGCTGACAAACTTACACCTACCTATTTGTACCGACATAATTGTTATTTATTGGTTGCATTGACAATTATTGTGATATTAATGATTCACTATTGTCAGAAACTTTGGAATTAAAATTGTAAGCTTGGTTTCTAAAATGTATAATTCAAATAATCGACTAGCTATTGAAGTAAATCGAAAAAAATGTTTTGATTATTGAAAATGTTGATATGCACGGTATCGGTGCTATGCTTTTTCTTAGCTCTATATCATTTCCCAGTGGAGTCCTTTTGAGAACTTAAGCACCACGAATAGTAGAATGTTTCATTGAACTGTATTTTCTTTACCACTCCCTTACAATTTGGTTAAACAATATACATGCATCAGATAAGGCCGAGTTAAGAGACAGTACCAATACCTTGTCAATAGTGTTTCCAACTTTTGCTCGTTAAAATGAGAAGTTTTTTCAGCGGATTCCTTCTCTAGTTTTACTCAAGAATAGATTAAAATAGTTAACATTAGATAGTAAGTACAAAAATCAACACACACTGGTTATTTTAAAACAACAACTTGTTGAAATTTCTGAGTGATTTTCTCAAAAGTTTCCGACTGTGTTCTTCAGTTTTACAAATTGAAGAAATCCTGGCACAAATTGTTTGCATAAATCAGAGATTGCTCTGTTTTTTGTGGCGAATGATAAAGTCAGTTCCAACAGTTTTATTTCAACTCAAAGAGGAATTTCTTCGAGTGCATCGAACATTGAGCAAAGTTTTTTAATTTGTACATTTCATTCACTATGTTAGAAAAAGCATGTCCAAAGTTTGAAATTCTTCTAGAATATATTTATGTCTCGTTAAATAAAAAGTGAAAGTGAACGCAAACGTTTTATGTTGACTGATGCCGAAAATTTCTCTTGACTGTGTCTAAACTGTCGTTTCGGAAACGTTAATGTTGTCCTCGAACAAATTTTTTGATACGAAACAAATTGGATGGAGGCTGAATGATAGAGCCTTTCAAATCTACAAAATAGATTCTATATTCTTCTGGTACCTCGTACAACCCTATAACAAACAGCTCAAATAAACACGTTCTTCTGTAAGAAAGTTGGCTATGCATATTGAAGCTCCTGCATATTATTTTCATTAAATTATTAACAATTCTAATTGTACTAAGCGGAACTTGAAAACTCCGAAGTACGAGTAAAATATAGTGAAATAGGAATGAAGCACAATACTTCATTCGTACTTCCGAAGATAGAAGTCTAAGTAATAACGGTCTCTTCATGCTGCTGTCGGTTCGTGTGAGGGTTTCATTTGTTGTCACAAGCTCGCTATTAGTTCGACTTCCAGTTACAGTTGCACTCCCCATAGTGCTATCAGTTTCAATCAAGATTTGGTCGCGATCCCGAAGTGATTCTCGATTCTGGACACGGATTCAATGGGAGTTCCAAAATAGCATCAGTTGGAATCCAAGTTTCAGTCTCGCTCGTCATGGTTCTGTTGGTTCGTTGCAGAGTTTCATTCGCCGTCCCAATTTCGGTAGCAGTGCGAATCATGGCTGCATTGATGGTCCCGAACCCGGCTTGATGCGGTTATTGCATCGGGTCTCTACCTCAGTGTGAGTCCTGATTTTAGTACGATTTTAATTCCAAACTTCAGTTGTAATTCGTACTCATCGACGATAATTGGCTATAGGGTCCTTAGAGAATAGTCAAATGACCAATATTTTCACTTTCGAGTATCTGCCACCTCGACATTCTCAGCTCGTGTTCTTAAAAGATATTCAGCAGTAGTCACAACATTAAGAAACATGCAAAAACGAGATCTTGGGTATCACAACTATTCAATGTGAGTCTGTAATTCTGCACAGTACTTGCGTCAATGCACAGTAAAAGAGAAGTCCTTGAACGAAAATTATGAAATTTATTTTTCATACAGCATTGCATTTAATTTTCAGCCAGATAAAATCCTTTCGTACACTGAGAGTATGTGATATTGAACGATCGTAGTTCTACGCTTCCACGGCAAGAAAACAATTAACTGAATCATACGGGAATAATACTATATAGTGTTAGCAGTCTTCCTTATGGATAGAGAAATTCTATTGACTCTAATGACCACATAGGACTTGTGAAGCGCTTGCACTATCATAAAAACATACCTTAGCTTATTTTATTGATACTAAATATTTTGTAGTAGCGGTGCCAATGCTGCTGTAATGAATCGAAACTTATCTACGAGTGAGAGATAAGCATTATATTACTTATATATATGTGCCTTGCCAAATAAATTTGGCCTTAACGCATACGTGCTTCAAGGTGAATTATTGGCGCATGACTATTTAACGATATAATGCGTTTGTAAGGTAGATACTCTACCGTCATTTTGCTTGTTCTCTCTTGCCAATTTGAATAAGCTTAATAGATAACATTGAAGAGTCAATCGCATGGTTGGAAAAAATGTGCGCTATACCGCATATTCATTTGCATTCTTTCCCATGGTCGTACATGATCGTATGATTACCAAGATTTAACGATGTATAGTACGTAGCTTGAAAGACTAATCTCGTTCGCAACCAACTCAAACGTAGTTTCAGAGATAAGCAAGCAAAGTCATTTTCTGATCCTATCCGAGATCATGATATGAGTTTTGCGACCGGCTCCATGAAAGATTTTGATTTCTGTATCAGCTCGAGGATACGTACGAGTCCCGGTCTCGTTCTGAACGCATGCTGCAGCTTCAGAATCCATTCCTCTACTGATTTCAACTTCACTGATTGTCCCCATACCCGTTTCAGTTTCAGAGTTGGTCTTCTCACCGGTCCAGGTTTCACCATTAGTCCTAGTACCCATTTCCAGTATCCACCATTGATCATGTTGATCCAAAATATCACTAACAACTTGATAATAATATTTAAGACACACACCAGCAACTTAATCAACGAATGAGCCGACGAGTTTCGAAACGATGAAGGAACACTTGAACGTTTATTGCATGAAATTGGAACTTATATTGTATAAGTCACTTTTTTCTTTTTATTATCTATTATCATTCGCATCATGAAATGTGTGAGAGTCAGAGTGAGAACGAAGATTGACAACTTTATACCTATTGTGCAAAGCATGCATGGTCGTTGTACGAAATGCTATCAAAAAATCTTTCTCGCGCTATTCGAATACAGTGTTAAAGAAAAGGTGAATATATAAAATTGTAAATGACTTAGTTCCAGCACGAACAAACAAGTGCCACTTTCAAAACAGGACCTATCAAAAACAATCCTGAACTTTACACAATAAAGGACTGTTAGCATCTACATAATGATATTTCACTAATAAAATGCACTTTTTGGGCCATGATCTGCAGTACTTCGTAATTTTTTTCTGATTACCTTGACGAAAATGAAAATGTAATGAGTGTGTCTTGTGGGTGTAGAAAATAGCAAGACCGACATCCACATCCTCATTGTACATGAGAAAGCAACACGTACCATACTTAAGATAATTTATTAAGAAGAACAACGGTGCCATAAGACTTAATGCTGCATTACAAGTCTTAAAATCACACGATCGAATATCTAGATACATATGAATCAATGAACCTATTAAATCATTGAAAACGAAATGCAAAAATATAAATTTTTTGTTTTGATCTCTTTTTTCATCGATCCATTTGTTAAACATCACAATGAGTTAATGTTATTGTACAGTATGTTGAACTTTTTCAAACCTTCCAACACATAGAAAATGCAGAATAACGACGACAAAAGAAAATAAAAAATATTACGAACCACTCTACTTTTGCATGCACTGCTAGCAACATCATGTGGTATGGATTTTAATACAGTTTCAAGGTCTTTCAAAATTTCATTAGGAATCATATTCAAAAATTGATGAATTAATAATGTTGCCAAAGTGGAATGCAATAATTTCATTGCACGTAAGGATTTATCGAAATGAAAACAACTCATAATTGATCTGAAACTCGCTCCTTTATACAATTTTCCTAATGTCATGCCAATACCAGAGTATTCTAATATATCCCATACGACCATCATGTGATTCTTCATTACATGAAATGCATCGGGATATAGTAATACTTTATCAAACATCATTTTACTGATATATTTTACCTTAATTTAAAAAATTAGCATAAACCGATTACATGGGCAAATTAATCTTTACTTGAATGCAGTTTCTGTAAATTTGTTCACCAACGAGGATGACACCTACTATTTAAGGAACTACAATCAAATGGTGTATTGATCAATCGATTTACACTAGTTGAATGGTTTGGGAAAAAGCTAAAGTTAGGAGTAAATAACAAGGTTGATTATGCTACACTCGTGGGTACCGACAAATGGCCAACTCAAACAAATGGGATCGGTATAGTTGTCGTTCAACCAAAATATACATCTGATTCATTTGCTCTCGTCGTTCGATATGTTTCCAGAGATTTAATAGAAGATCTTGTTGTTAAAGAAATACAACGCACAATTGCATCGGCAGATAGAATCAAACGCATTCATTACGCGTACCAAAGAAAAACAGATGATTATCAATTCGATGTAAAAGATTATAGCGAATACAATGCAGTACTGCAATTGGGTCCTATTGCAATAGATAATTCATGGTTATCAATTACTAAATTTTATCCTGGTAATCGTTTAACTTATTGTACGAAATGTTGGTGCATTGGTAATTCAAAAAGCAAGTGCAATTCAATAAGTAAATGTCGAGTCTGTCTTGAAAATCTTAATGTGAATACTCCACATAAATGTCAATATGAACCAAAGTGTGCTCAATGTGATGGTAAACATCACTCACTTGATAGTCGATGTCAAGTAATACAAAACTATAAACATCGATTAAAAAAATATGTTGAAGACACGATCAAGAAAGGTATAATTCATTGATTAGCACCAAAAGAAAAAAATACGTCCTTTGAATTACACGAACAAGATTTTTCGTCGCTAGAAGGTGGAAATAATCAGTTGAATTTCAAATGGGGTACTAAACAACTACGTATAACCAGTGAAACAAATATCTTAAGCACATCTGATTCAGGAAATATAACAGGAAATATCAATGATAAATTGACAGAACTCATTGAAAGCAACAGACGAATAGAAAAAATAGTTGATCAGCAAGCAATCGAATTGAACACAGTTGTTTTAGATATCCCACTACATCAGGCAGTCTTAGTCGATACCATTAGTATTGTAAAAGATTTTATGCAACATTTTATTCCGGTATCGTTAACTTCTGGAAAAGCCGAAAGATCATCGTTGATGCCTCTTCTGCAAGAGTGCTTCAATCGTTTTCATGAAACATCTACAAGATTAAATGATGGATTCCAATTTAATCATCAAATTGCACACTCTCGATCTTTGACTAATCGCATTTCCGAACTTGTAACGACAATCGATTCATCATCAGCAATGAGAAATTCATTGAACTCATGCTCGGCACAATTGGTTAAGTAGAATGTTGACTCTTAATATTCATGTTCATGCAAAAGTGTTTTTTCGCCATCTTATAGCAAAATCATCATTATTAAGCCTTAGAGAAGAAGCAAAACGCCGTCTAAGTTCTTGGGATTTTTCAACAAAAGACCAGAAATTAGTATTATCTCTCTTAGAGAAATGGTATACGGGTAATACTCTAAACGCAGTTTTACATCGATGGGAAAATTATCAAGAGATTCCTTCTCAAAAGCCAAAAAGAATATATGAAAATTCTTTGTTATAACGTTCAAGGTTGGGGAACACGAGCAGTTGAAGTTATAGATTTAGTGTATAAAACACAAGCTTCTATTTGTATTTTTACAAAAGTAGAAGAATTATGAAACACAACCCGAATACCACATTTTAATACATTCTATCAAAAAGGCACCAACAAAACTGGAGGAGTATGTATAGCAGTAGGAAAGCATTTGAAAGCGACACGTGTTGAAGTTAACATATAGAGCATAGTTGTTATTGATATAACAGGTCTCTCAGAACCAGTACGTATAATTGATATTTATTGGCCTGCTAGTCAACAATGTGACCTAGATGATATTCTCGGATATGCAGTAGAAGGTACCATGTTATCAGACGATTTCAATGCAACAGTCAAATAATGGAATTGTCCAGTAACAGATAGAAGAGACCTAGGCTTGAAAGAATGAATTGAAGAGAATAATCTTAATTACATACCAACGACTACACACACATCAAAACGTTCTCTACGTCACATAGATTTATCTTTCGCAAATAACAATAATATTTCGAATGAAACGTTATAATTTGGCACTAGTGATCATTGACCGATCTTACTAACGTGTGAGAATATTTCGTTCGGCACGAACAGTTATTTTCCTCATACAAACTGGAAGGCATTCAAAGCAGTACCAGCGCTACTTCAATCATTCTGAACAGAACAACAAAAAATAAATGATGTAGATGAATGGTATAGACAATACATTCGTTTCATCGCAGCTGTCAAAAAAAGAGTGACTCATTGGAAAGAGAGAGATAAATATAAACCATTATTACCAACATACATCATCAAAAAATTAAAAGAAATACGTAAAGTTAGAAATAGATATTATCATTTAAAACACAAGGGAATTGTTAGTGAAGAAATTAGAGTTTTATTGCGAGTATTAACGAGAGAATCAAAAATCGTTATTGACAAATACAAAAATGCTCAATAGCAAGATATTCTTTCCAATATTCAAAGATCTCACGAAAATATGAAGAAAGTATTTTGGATTCATTTATCCCGCATTTATAAGTCGCGTGCACTACCTTTTAACGGGTTAATCGACAGCACTAACATTTTCTTAACAAAACAATAAATTACAAATGAATTATATAAGTATTATAGTAAACAGTTCAAAGAAACGACGTTGGACAGCTCAAATGAGCACGATATTCAGATAGACTTTGAATATAAAGAGTTCTTGAACAAACTAAGAAATTCGAAAGATCGAATAGAAAAAACTAGTGTTTTTGAAATTACACGAATAAGTAGAACTCTAAAGCCTAAGAAATCGACAAAATTTGACTTGGTGTCAAATTTTATAATAAAAAAACTTCCTACGAATTATATTGAGTATTTAGCCAACTGTTTTAATATTTGGCTTGAGGAATGCCGATATCCCCGAAGATTGGAAAATAGCAAAAATCATAACACTTAATAAATTGAAAACAGGTATTTCAAAGTGTGAGCAAACTCATCCAATCTCATTGTTAGCGACACATTCAAAACTATTCGAAAAAGTACTTTTACTAAGAATCAGGCATTGGCCTGAAACTAATCGTTTGTTATCCATCGAACAATCAGGTTTTCGTCCGTAATGTCTCTTACCGACTCGAGTACTTTCGATTTACCAGGAAGTGAAAAACAACATGACTGCCAAGATCCCGACACTAGCTATANTGAATTCTGGTGCTGGTAAAAATTGTCGACAAGATAAGAGGCCATCATGACCTGCATATTTCTAAAAAAGACAATATTCATAAGTTTAACATTTTCTTATTTGAGACATAGTCATCGATGTTTTTTTTTTTCTTCATTATATGATATTTATAAAGATAAATGGCATCTTCGTCTTAATTTTCTAATAAAACATGATTTAATAATATAACTTACTTTTATAACGGTACAATAGACAATACTAATTTTCTTAAAACCTATCGTTTTGATGATAATTTTTCGAACTTTGAATTCTTACTTTTTAATTGTATACTTACTCCTAATGTTTCCGATGAAAGACCATAGACCAAGTGTCGAATGCCACTCCAAAACAGAGCACTTGTACACATTAAACATGGTTCACAACTAGTATATAATGTACATTGTTCAAGAATATCTCGACTAAATTTTTGCGAAGCCATACTAATTAGATTCAATTCAGCATGACGAGTGACATCATGATGAGGTGTACAAGTTGTATTTTCAGCAGTCAACAATACTTGTCCATCTTTTGATATAAGACAAGCACCGAATGGTTCATTTCCGTGCTTGACTGCAGACAGTGAAAGCTCAATAGCTTGACGAATGAATGATTCATGAATATGCTCATCAATTGAAGACGACATTTATTTTCCTTTTACAAAAAAAAAAAAAGAAAAGAAAAATATGTTATCGAAAGGGTCCGAGATACGTGAAATAAATAACCTTCATCAAGTGAATCCTTATCTATGCTAACTACCTAACCACTGATGTATTTAATAGACTTAGTTTTTAGTGATTATATCTAAATACATCATGTGGATGTTTTTATAACTGGTTCATCGATCACGATTAATATATTTTCAGCTTTAGCTAGACATTAATAATATTTGTACATAAAATATTAAACTGTCCATTTAACAGAAAATGCATAGATGACGCGCTCTACTTATGTATTGTGGTAGTCGGGTTGATAGGGATAGTGCTATAGTTAATGATACGAATAAAATAGAGCAAATAAAAATGGTCAAGGAACTACTCATAAAGGGCGTTCAAACACTTACTATGAATAATTTTGAAGCTTAGCTTATTTCGAAAAGTATTTCTCATAGGAAATGAACTGAATGCATCAGTTGAATACGAATATGGTGTTGAAATAGTTGAAGATTATACTACATGAATAGCTACTTGTTTTCTCGAGCAGTTATATAAACCTTTATAGATGTTTCAGTACGTTAGAGCACTTTATAGATTTATAGCATTTGACTGAAAAATGCTTCTAAATGTTCAATCTACTAACTTGTTGGAAAGTTTTTCATGCAATGCTATAGAAATTGGACAGACGCTTGTGTGAATTCCTGGTAAGTACTATGCATGGAGATAATTCTTAGCAGAGTACTCAGCCATGATTCTATGACATAATGATAATAGGCTACCCAAAAATATACCCTGCGAATGTGGGTATGATGTGAATGTCATTGTGAAGAGGAAAACACTCACATTTATCTTCCGCCACGTCCTTTAATTAAAACGTCTTTACACTAACATACTGGTTTATTGAGAATAATTCGTCCGAATATTCTTGAACTTTATAGGCAGACTTGTCGGAGTGAAGCCCTCGTGTGGACAAAGTTTCACATCGAAATTCGAAGCTTTAATTCTATCGCAAAAGTGTGTTCTGCAGAAAAATTATACTGAAATGTCGGTATCTTCGCCAAATCGCAAATTATGACTATATCCTCCTAGGCTCTTTCTAATCTATACATCGCCCGTTTGTGAAAAAAATTCTAGCTTAGAAGCTTTTTAACACCTGGAAAGATTTCCTCGTCACAGACAACGTTTTATTTACTTTTCTGAAAAAATCAGTTTTGTTTTTCTTCAACTGGTGTATAGACGAAGAAAATGGAAAACTCATTTCGCTCTACACGAAATTGAAAAGTGTTCGTCATATAGCATTTCGGATGAATAGACATGAAAAGAGAAAAAGGAAAACGGAAAGACATGATAGCATAGCACGCTTTAAGCTCTACAAAATAAACTGTTCATTATCGTTATTTTTTTCGACTCTCGGTAAATCTTCTTTTTTAAGTACATCTCTCTGTAAAATACGATTTTTTCGAAGTATAATATTCATAGGTCGTCGATAGTAAGAGCTCGACAGATTAAATTTGATTTGGATGTGAAACAAACCGATTAATGAGAAGAAAATTTATTGACCATATCTTGCTAAAACCTCAATCGTTTCAAAAATTTACCATTCACTCATCTCTAATAAATGCTTGCATCTTATTTATTCCTTTGTACACGACAACAGATAATAATTAGATACTAATGTTAAATTAAATGAATGAAAGATATTTTATTTAGATAATGTATCAGTAGCATGCTAATATCAAATAAATGCCCAAGTTTAACATTAAAAGTACATCTGTAGAGTAATAACTGAGTTGAATAGGAATTAGTTTTAGAATGTTTCCAAAAACGACGAACATCGACAGGTGAAGTCATTATCAGTTTCGTGTGATGAATATAAATTAACGACATATAATAATTGGTGAATATAATGATATAATTAGATTATTTCTATGATCTGTTTTTTTTTTAATTTTTTGTCTTGTTGATAAACATGTCTAACTTATAAAATGACAGCAAAATATTTTTTTTCAACTATTACTATTGTAACTACTCTTTATATTTCATCTAACTTAGATGAAATCAGATATATTTTTCCTTTATAGTATATTATTAAAGGTTTATAGTAGAAATAAGACAGCAACAAAAGGAAATATCCTTGTCGATCTATAGTAAAGGTCACGCATAAATCTCCAGTATCAGGCAAAATATTGTCTGATATCGATAAAGAAAACCAAAAATCTGAGAAAAAAAAACTAGATAGAAGTATTTATTAGGTTTATAGCATAATATTATTTATTCTTTTTATGTAACAACTAATCCATTTAAATTTAACCTAAAGATGAATTATTACAGATTATAATATTAATGTAATTGAGACCAAAATGTTTGATGAATTTTGACAGCTTCGTCTTCAAGAATAGGACCAATAACAATGAATTCTGGTGCTGGTAAAAATTGTCGACAAGATAAGAGGCCATCATGACCTGCATATTTCTAAAAAAGACAATATTCATAAGTTTAACATTTTCTTATTTGAGACATAGTCATCGATGTTTTTTTTTCTCTTCATTATATGATATTTATAAAGATAAATGGCATCTTCGTCTTAATTTTCTAATAAAACATGATTTGATAATATAACTTACTTCTATAATAGTACAATAGACAAAACAATTTTTCTTAAAATCTCTTATTGTGATCATACTTAAACTTAATCAACTAAATTTTTTTTCGAATTATAGGTAGCACTGTAAGGTTTTTTTTAACACGGACAAACTTCATAAATACTGTTGGAACTTATTGGTCTCGAATGAAATACAAAAAGTAGTCGTTTTCAATTTCGCAAAAGATCCCTACGTAGTGTTTCTGTACATTTGTACTGACTTAAAATAAATATACAGAAACACTACGTAGCGAGTTTTTTGAATATCAAAAAATAATTGCTTTTTGTATTTCATTCGAAACTAATAAATGTGATCAGTATTTATGAAGTTTGTCCGTATGAAAAAAAATGCTTCATAGTAGTACCTATCATTTGAAAAAAATTAATTTGATTAAGTTTGATAAATAGTGGAGCCATTCAAATTTACTTTCATCTAGGACTTTTGGGATATCCTATACTTACTCCTAATGTTTCCGATGAAAGACCATAGACCAAGTGTCGAATACCACTCCACAACAGAGCACCTGCACACATTAAACATGGTTCACAACTAGTATATAATGTACATTGTTCAAGAATATCTCGACTAAATTTTTGCGAAGCCATACTAATTAGATTCAATTCAGCATGACGAGTGATATCATGATGAGGTGTACAAGTTGTATTTTCAGCAGTCAACAATACTTGTCCATCTCTTGATACAAGACAAGCACCGAATGGTTCATTTCCATGTTCGACTGCAGATAATGAAAGCTTAATAGTTTGATGAATGAATGGTTCATGAATATTCTCATCAATTGCAGATGACATTTATTTTTCTTTTACAAAAAAAAAGAAAAGAAAAATATGTTATTAAAGAGTTCAAGATACGTGAAACAAACAACCTTCATCAAAAAAATTCTTATCTATACTAACCACCGACTGAAATATATCGAATATCTTAGCTTTTAGTGACTATATCTAAATACACTATGTAGTTTTTTCTCTATAACCGATCCTTCAATCAAGGTTAATCTATTTTCAACTTCAACTACAGATTAATTAATAGTATTTGTGCAAAAAAATATCAATCTGGTCATTCCTAAAAAAAAGAAAAAATAGATGACGCTCTCTGGCAATTCATTCTAGTAGATGGTATTATAGGGATAGCGCTAGTGAATGAAACGGCCTTTATAGAGCAGATAAAAATGATCAAAACGAAAATATGACACAACAATGTTGTTAACTATGCCTAATTTTTCTACGAAAAAATTTTTTAATTGACTTGCTGATAAAATGATGTGAACACGAACATCAGTGTTTTTACTATCGAAATCATCCAATGAATATCATTCAATAATTTAAACTCAACTCATCGTCATATGAAAAGATGTCATTGCTATTCCTTTATTCTGTTAAAATAAACAAAATCTGTTGGATAATAATATAAAATCAATCAATTTTATACTTGAATAAAAATATTCGTTTCGAGAAAAAAAAAAGTTTTCTTTCAATTTTAAGATTATTTGTTTTCATGTATTTGCGGCATGTATTCTTAAACTTGAAATCGATTGTTTATCTACGTCCTCAAGTAATTCATCCTTCAATTTGTTCAATAATTGAATCTAATATTTTTAGTTTGAATTTTATAGACAATCGAAAAATTTGTTCGTCGTTCTTTGACATATCAAATTGATAAACATGAAAAATCAAATGAAAAAAATAATGAAGATAAAGAAAAAAATGATGCTAAACTACTTAAAGAAACAAAAGACTTTCGGAAAGCACATGAAAAAGCTGAATGGGAACGATTATCATTTATTGAGAAAATAGTAAAAAAATATTTTCCGTCTGGTATTAATTCACTTGCTATTTTTGTACGTATTTATTTGTATTTTGTTTTTTTCTTGTAAGACACTTCTTTATATTAGATTCTTGCTGGTGTTAGTTATGTCATTGTTGAGCAAATAAAAAATGATTATGAAATTAAACAAACATTTCGTAATGGTTCATGTCCAAATTTTAAATTTAGAGAAGAACAATTATTCGAACGAAAAGAAATATTAGATGAACTTTCATCAATTATTAAACCTGTTGCAAATAAACTTGTTTCATCATATTATATTGTAGTTGGTGATCATGGAACTGGGTAAGATTCAATAAATAATTATCGAAGAAATTTTTATTTTTCTACTATAGAAAAACAACATTAATTCGTCAAGCAGCAAGACAAGCTGGTCGAGGTGTTATCTATGTTGATAGTTCGTTATTATTTTATTAATAAAAAAAAAAGAATTTGTTTTATCATTATTTCTAGTTCCATATAATGTTGAAAGATTTGGTAGTGCTTTTGCACGTTCAATAAATTTTAATTTCAAAGAACATATTCTTTTATCAGCATGGATTGAATCAAAAATGTTTGGTTCACCACCTGATGATGGTAAAACTTGAGTTAAATTTTTTTTGTTGTTTTATTTGTTTTTCTATTGAATTATTTATTTTTATAGGTAAACAAGAAAGTTGGGAACGTGTATTAGCTACATTTGAAAAATACGCAATTGATTTTAAAAAAAGATATGGTTGTGTACCAATATTAATCTTTGATAATTGTGATTCACTTGCAAAGAAAGATAAAAAAATGCTTGAAATATTACAAGATGTAGCAAAAACAGCTATTGATGATTCAACTTGGGTCACAATATTTGTTGGATCAGTTGGAGAAGCACCAGAACAAATGGACGGTATGTAATTTAAAATCGAACGTTCCTAACTGTTCGATAATTGTTCGTTTATAAGACTACTCTCATTCGATCAATCATGATGAATAATGAAAAAGTCTGGTATTTCGGTTTTTACTCGTGAAGTTATGGACGTTCTACTTGATTTCCCTACTATGAGAAAACTTCAAAGTTTAAACTAGGACAAACATATTCGTATCGAAATATTAGTTTGCCATTCAAACGTTTTTGTTCTTGAAGCACAACTCAAAACAGATGTTTCTTTAAAATGAAAATATTTTGACAAAGACATGTTCGTAAGGACTCAAATTGTGGGATGTTTCTAATGATTATATAGTTTATCTATGAATAAAATCTCAGCTCGAAAATCGATCGTTCAGGTCCTACGGGATCTTATATGCTCATTCATAGAATAAAAATCAAGTAAAACGCGCATAAATTAATAACTATAGACTGAAAAATTAGACTTTTTCAATACTCATCCTAACCAATTGAATGGAAATAGTTGTTTGAAAAATATTTTGTTGAGACAAATATTAAGCTAACATAATATTATAATAATATACTTTTATTTTCAGGTCGAAGTAGTATTACTCGCGCTGCATCATTTATCGAAATAACAGATCTGTCAGAAACAGAAGCAATAACTTATTTAACAGAAAAACGAAATCTATCAAAAGATATGGCGAAAAATATTTATGCACTTTTTGGCGGACGTTTTAAGCGTTTACAAAATGCCGCAAGTAAAATCGAAAGTGGTGAATCATTTTCTAGTCAGTAACATCATTTTTTTAAACCCTCCGGAGTTTATTATTTTTTTCTTCTATTTAGATATTCGATTATCAACTTTAAATAGTATAGCACGTCGAATAGAAAAAATTCGATGTCGAGTTAGTAGTCAAGAAGAACAATTTATCCTTAATATTCTTTGTGGTTTATTATATCGATCTGAATTAACTGTTGATGATTTAATTGAAATGGAAAAAGATCCTAATATAAGACAAAAGGTTTTAGAAGAACTTCGTAATGAAACAATTCTTGCTCAACATGTTACAACTGGTTCATATGTATTTCATGAACAAGCAACAAAAGTGTGCACTAATGAATTTTATAAAGAAAAAAAATGTTTTTCTTGTAAATGGATCATAGATATGAAATTCTAAAGCATTGATTTTTTTGTCATTGTACAGAATTTTTTTTTTTTTGATATTTAACTTTATTATTTAGTCTATAGATCCAGAAAATAAAACATAATAGTAACCAAGCGATAAATAAAAACAAGCATAGATATAAATTCTAGTCGAATACCCACGCTACACCTCAACAGAGGTATGTGTAAGTTGAAAACGTTGTTAATGACAACAGAATTTTCTAAAAATCAATAGACTTCTATTTAATTTGAACTGATAGATACATGATTTTGCTTGTTCAACATTGAAATTTGAGAAAACACGGCACGAATATTACAATTGAATTGATAAATTTTGTTAAACTAAAAAATTTCTTTTGAACACATGTATCTCGGGATAATGAGCTTTCCTAGAGAGCTAATTGTTATATGTTACATGCGTGTCAATTTATTCTAGATACTCTGAAAAAATCAGCACCAGAGACCTTTGTTCAGAGGAGTTATCCGTAAAAAAAACTAGTGTTACCAAAGTGACACAAAACAAGGACATCGACTTTCATTTGATGCATTTTTGGTTTATGAAAACAAAATAGTATATTGTGTAGACAACTCCTGAAGCTAGAAAATCTTTGTCAGAATTTCGTTCCCGAGCATGCCTAAGTTTTTTCAAAAACTCAATTTATTTTTTGTTAGAAACGTGACGGAATATAAATATTGGAAAAGAAAAATATTCTTATGACAGGATGAGAATTTCAAAACCCATTCCAAATGGTACAAATCCTTCTTTGAAATTTCTAGATGGTAGTAAGACAAAAATATTTGTTTTGTTTGCAATGACTCATATATTCACTCTGGAAAAAACAGTACAATTTCCTATCACCCTATATATTTATGTTTTCACTTCCATTTATTGACCAAAAATTCAATCAATTTCAACAAAGAGTCCATCAATCATAGAAACTTAGTGATGATACATCTGAAAAGTTAAGTGAAAAGATAGAATCTGATGATCAGAGTGTCTTCATTAACATAAGTATACAGGATGATAGGAAACGCCAATCACTTTCAAAATATATATAGTCATTTTTTTATTATTGTATTTTACGACGACAACAGATATAAAAAATCGACTAAAACTATTTTTCCTCAGGAATATCTATACATTTATCATTGTCAATGTTTAACATTATTTTGAAAGAGCTTTGTTATACGAGATACGAGTACTCAATTCAAGGACTTCGTGGAAAGTCTTGTCCTATCCAAAGATTAAAACTGTAAATCCTTCTATAAAATTTTTATCGTATTGGATGACACATTTCCTTTGTCTTTCTTGGTCCATCCATTTAATGGTATTTACTAGACAGAGAGAAAGAAATTCCGACGTCCAAAATAAGAAAGACTATATTGAACTGATAAGTATATGTATATATAAAGTGAAAACGAAAAGATAATAAACAAACACGCACACGTATATACACAGCACAGTGTTTTGCTCTTTCTGATCTAGTTAACCAGGAAAAAAATAATAACAAGTAAGATTCTATTTAGAAAGGAACGAAAATTTTTCATTGAAATTATTTCTTGAGAATGATGTCAACAGAATCTCCAACACAAAATCAACAACAACAATCAACAACATACGATGAGCGTGTATTTAATGAACGTATTCGTCAATTGTTTAATTCGATCGATTCATCTTCAATATCTCATTCTCCTGTATCACCACATGGTGATATTGGTCAAATGACATCGATTGTTGATGCTCTTTTTCCTGAACAAGCTTCATTTCCTGAACAACGAGAACCTCGTCATGCATCAACAAATGATCTTACAACCGCTTTCGATCGATTTCCTCTATGGAATAATAATAATAATAATAACAATAATAATTATAATTATAATAATAAACAGAATAGTTCAGCATCAGCTTTCTGCGGTGGTACAACAAATAGTTCATCGGCATTTGTTAATCGACGTCAATCAAGACTACATAGTTCATCACGTTCATTACGCAATGCTAATTATTATTGTCAACAGCAACAACAACAGAATCATTATCGACCACCACCACTTACTCGACCTCGTTTTACTTCATCGACAATACGTTTACAATCAGCGGCAACAACGTAAATTTCAATTATAATTTTAATTAATTATTCAATCAAATTTTTATTTATATTTTAGAACTACTTCTAATAATAATAATAATAATAATGGTCTTCAACGATCATCATCATCATTGTCAACTAATAATATAACATGTGGTACAACTGATTATCAACCTCGTTTTGCAAGTCGTCTTTCAAGTACTCGTTTACCTATGGCTGCACCACCTGTAGGATCTCATGATCAAATAGCAGGCAATAGTATTACAATAGATCCAATAGTTCCACCATCAGCAGCGTCTACTATTGGTGTTATAAGTCAACCATCATCAGCTTCTGCTGGACTTGCTCGCAGTACTTCATCAACAAATGCTCAACCACAACAATTTGTTACTATGACACAAACAACAACAACAACATTTTGTTATGTACCTGCTTCTAGTTCACTTGCTTATAATAATTTATCGGGTACAAATAGAAACGCAACGGTTTCTCATCAATAAAAAAAAAGGAAAAATTAAATAGAAAAAGTTTTCATTCGTTTGACTGAAAATTATGTAGAGCATGTCGTTGTTGTCTAAGACACATGTTTATTTATTTATATATAACCTATATATTTATTTATTTATTTATCTTATTTATCTTATTTATGGTTTACTTGTGTACGTATGCAGGTTTCCTTCTTTTGGATTTTGGATCAATCGAGCGCTAGTTTCTTTTCTGTTGTATTTTGTCGAACAATTTCATGCACAGAATTATTTATTTACTTATTTATTTTCTTTCTCTCTTTTTTGTTAATTGTTCTCTTTTCTTCTTCTTCTTCTTAATGGTTAAACAGTTGTCTTTGCAACGAAAACAAAGAACAACTTTTGCTCAATAAAAAGTTTATGATAATGTAAAACTTATTCATATATATATATTATTAATTATAATAGAGATAATAAAATCAAAATAAAATTTTGAGTACAAATGTTATACGATTTTCGATATGAAAACAAATATTGAGTTTTTTTAAAGGTGATGCTTGTCATGATTTGATCTTATTCTATAGTGACGCCATCAGTTAGAATAATCGTAAGATATTGAAATTTTTCTTTTTAAATATCGTTACCACTTGAAGTGATAGGGAACCAAAACTCATGTGAAAAATATATTTATTCTCTTGAAATCTATAATCAAATTCAAAATACAATAATATTGTTGAATCTCTACATAAAATGGTTGAAGTCGAAAGATTCAACAAAGTATTGTTTTTTTTTATCTCTAACATCTCAATTTTACGACAAAAGAAGACGAGAGACTCTGTTTTTACAGACATTCATGTATTCACATAATACATTAGAAATTTATCATACAATAAATACTTTTATCTTGTCGTAGATTCTTAAATATTCTATTGTTCATTCAATCAGTTCTTGATTCATTTTCTTTTAGTTTCATGTTGAATTCGAATTTCTTACGTACAAATCTGAAAATAAATGCTCCTTCTTTTGCACGTCGAACACAGATTGCGAACAGTAAAAAATATCTTCATTGAGATTCTTTCTGATTCAGATTGAGTCTGAAAAAATTACGATGCAAAGTCCTTGTTTATGAGTTGTTTTACTTTTTCGGTACATATCTTGAATCGCAATTTTTTGTCGCAATGATTTAAAGATCAGAGAATCGTACGATACTCGTCCAAACATTGTTACAAAGTTTCATTTTCCTATGTGATCAGTTTGTTTCCCACATGCCGGTATGAAATTCTGTTTCGTACTAGTGTTATGCAATCGATCAGATATCCGGCATTCGATTCGATAAAAGAATTTGTTTTTATTGAAATTCATCTACAAATGATGATGAACCCATACGACGAATTAAATGAATACATGGAGATTAATAAGATGCGATGCACAGCATTTCTGTGGTCGATCGTGTACGAATTCGGTCTCTATATTTTGCATGTTTTTCACTGTAACCAAATCTGTACTTTGTGTTACAGTGTTCTAGAGAACGGCACGTCGCCTGAATTTTTTTCGAACTTTGTGAAAGAGATCGATGACTTGAGATGATACAAACGTTTTTCAATCTTCAATATAAGTTTTCGTTTATCTTTGGTCAGTTTCGCAAACGAGCAATTTTGACGATTTGGCTTCTATCTTTTATCCAATATAATTAAAAGTAATGAGCTAGTCTTCAAGCTACTGCTGTGAGCAAGAACGAAAATGAAAACTTTCAACAGGACAGTATCGACTCTAGATGAAATCGTTTACTCGAAGTAGATATGTATCTCACTAAACAAGAATATATCCAACCAAACAATCCACATTTTTAAAATAACTTTTACCTTCTTCAATGCTTGAATAAGAACGAGTATCTGTGGTTGGTATATACATAGTGATGATATATGGAACAATAAAATTAGCTAAACATTATGGGAATTACATAAATCGCAAGTTACTCTATGGAATCATATATTATAACAAAAATTTCAACATAGAACAGATGCAACAGTTTGCAAAAATCAGCGGTCGACTACTTTTGAAAGAATGAAAAACAACATGCGGTGGTTGTCTTGTCAATAAACACTCAACAGATCAATGCATAGTTCTGGAAGTTTTTACAAGTATACTAGAGATTATAGGTTGTAATTTTGTGAAAACTAGATGATTCTAAGATAAAATTATCTACTAGTTAAATCATATCGATACCTACTGTGTTTACTGAGAGTTCATTCGTAATAAACTTTTTTTTTTCGGCAGTCAAGCTCCACCTCTTAGAACAGTTGAGAGATAACATGAACGGTATTGTGAAGATTGAAAAGACGTTGAAGACGAAGAGCGACCTACCAGATATGTAATGCAGACCATATCTATTATGATCACCCTCGATGTAAACTATCACGATACGTAACTTGCTTGTCAATTAACAACCAGTAGATCTTCTCTATTCAAACTACACATATACAAAAGTACTTCTTCAAATGACAGAGTGTTCTATCGACAGTATACACTTTCACATTAATTAAAATATCATCCTTCACAAACACTAACAAGCTCAAACTCATCATTGTCTATTTATAGAAAAAGCATCAATTTGAATCAACTCCATTATTCATAACAAAAAAAACTATTTTTTTCAATTATCTACTCCTCATTATCCTCAAAATCCATTCATGAATGGAACAATAAAAAGAAGCAAAATTATTTATCGTTCAATACCAATAATTGTTCTACAAAATTCTTCGACAATAATAGGTATACTAGATACACTTAATGAATCAACATTACCAAATATTTATTTAAGAAATATTACTTTAGCACAACATATCGCTAGACATGATCATTATGATATGAATAAAACATTTAAACTTGTTTTACGACATGCAAAAACAATTGGATCAATGAAATAATTGTTTCCGACTTGGTTTAATGAATCTGATTATCGTTGTCTATATTGGTTTAGTTATGATCTAGTGTCTATACCGTAACAGTTTATGACACATGTTGATGAAGAACAAATGACAAATATATAATTACTAACATCGAAACATATTTGATTCTCTAAATGGAATGATTTTTGTACAAAGTAAATGAAACACAATTCATATATTTTGTTATTTAATAGGTCAGAAGAAAATAAAGATTATTATTAGATGTATTGTGTATCCTTCAATGACAATTTTACTATTATTTTGTGAGTATTTTTCTAAAGAATCGAATTTCTTCTTACGACAGATGATTTTATGTTTTTGTGGAATTCACATTGTGGATTTTGAAGAAAAATATAGTGAGTATAGGATTTAAGTCGAGGTTTCGCGGCTCTTCCGCTCCCTCATCGCACGGGTGGCGAGGGAGGAAACGAGAATAATTCGGGTATATTTCCATAGAAAATGAAGACAACAGGCATCATACTTCTTTTCCAGAGTTTCTTAGCAACAGAAAAATGCTCTGAGCTAAAATTTCGGGAAAAACACAGTGCCCAATGAAGAATCATGCCGTTTATAAAAAGTCAGATCTCGGGCTATATTCCTATGTACGTCTCCCAATTTTCATGTTTTTGATGAAAATTAATTCGTTTTTGATGAGCTTAACATATTTTGTATTAGTATAATGAGGATAAAGAACATATGATATGGGTTCCACATTTTAGCTCGAAATGGAGTGCTGTAACAACTATTTTTATTTACAACAGTATGTCAGAGTGCAATGCCTGCAAGTGCCTTTTTTGTTGAACTCTTACGTTTTATCCTGAAAGAAGGGATGACTAGTTCAATATCTTGAAAAATTCTAAAAGTCATCATCCATTTATATACGGATGTGTTTTTTTATATAATAATAAATACATATAATTAAAAAAACGAACACTACAGCTTCACATGCTCGAAAATGTTGGGATTCGTGATCAGAAAAACATAAAAAGAGAAAAAAAACGAAAAAGATTTGCCGCTTATTTCTGGAAAAAACGATTGATTGTGAAAGATTCGACCTTAGGCTATTGTTTTACGCATTGACGTTAACTTCGATAGTTCTGACGTACCATTGCTATTAATCCAAATAGAAAAAAGAACATCAAACAGAGGCGTAGCCAGGATGAGGTGCACTAGGTACCTATGCACTCCCTTTGACCAAAGAACACCTGGAGGTGGTACAGGTAAAAAAGCTGTCTCGAACAACAAAAAAGGTTATTTTTCTGCTGGTGTGCACCCCAGGGACGTAGCCAGAAATTTCCTTAAGAGGGGTGCCCGACAAGTTATGCAGGATGCACACCAGCAGAAAAATAAATTTTTGTTGTTTGAAAAAGTTTTTATCATACCTACTCCAAGTGTTCTATGGCCAAAGGGGTGCACAGGCAACTAGTGCACCCCCATAACCAGTCGGGCATCCCAATCGGAAAATTTCTGGCTACATCCCTGAACATCATTCACTTTGTAAACTAATACTTACTGTTACTGTGTCTTTTGTTCTTTAAATATTGCGTTTAACCGATGATTTATTTGCAGTACTTGAAAAATCGGCAAAAGTAATACTGTTTTAATGACATAGGAAGTAATATTCTCGAAATGTTATATATGAAAAAGATTTTATTCAGTCATTTGGCTGAATTAGAGAACAAAAAAATTAACCTTTAAGTTATATTTAGGAGTAAAAATCACAGTGTTGATCGCTTTCTATTGTTTCGTGCCTATTTCACCTCTTAGTCCAGTTTATTCGCGAATCACATCAGGTTTTCATCATTTATCTCTGAGATGAGGGCATAAAATCGGACTGTTAAGATAGGTCTTCAATAGATTTTGTTGAGCTCTACCTTTGTCGATCAATATCATCTGTTGGTCTCCTTCTAAAGTAAATTTATTCAGAAAATACTCGAATTCTGCTCTAAGATATCCTACGTGCGTGGAACACAGTCTGGCCTACCAGACTCGTTCCTACATGGTCTACCGCGGTCGAGAATGTGAATGATGCGAGTCAACCCATGAGTGTACAAACATTACGCTCACCATGGCGCCATCGGGATCAGTTATGACTGCGAAGACAGGCGCGTAGATAACAGTAAAAAAGAATTTTTTTTTCATTTCATTTCATTCAATGTAATTTATTCGAGACAGAGAAAGGAAAACACACAAAGAAAAACAAAGAGTTCGCTGGTGAGAAAAACGTTGGACACGATCGTTCCCCCAATCGACGTCATAAAGATTGTTATGACGATCAAATGATAAACCTATGGGACAACTTAATCGATGTCTACCAATGATGACACTTTCCTCTGTGGCTTTCTTTGGTCAACACATGATTCTATCATTCCAAGAACCAGACACATAGACAGTACCTAATTGATCGACAACGACTTCTTCAGGAGAGAACAAATATCTACAATTATTGCCTTTCCCTTGACCACCGGCTACGACAATACCTTGTTTTGCACCTTCTTCCCGTTTCATCACACGATGATTTCCCCAATCAGACCCATAAAATGAATGACCTCGATTGAGAAATACATACCAAGGTTCACACAGTTGATCGAAACGGATTTCTTTTCCATTGCCACCAGCAATCACCGTTCCTTGAGTGTCACCCATTTGATATCGCCTCACTTCGTGTTTTCCTTCGTCGGCGACATAGAGAAATCCATTTTTATCCATTGTCAAAGCTGCACAAGAAATATTCGAAATGAATGTTTCTCCACACACAGTACAATTTCGATAAGACCATCGAACGACTCTAAGATTCCCATTATCGGAGATTATGAGACTATCGCTCTTTTTGTCGACAATCACATCATAGGGACGATTCAATTGATGAGGTCCATGTCCTTTGCCATTTCCACCGGCAACAACAGTTCCGCATTTTGAACCACATTTCCATCTTACAGTACAGTGATTGTTGAAGTCAGCGACATAGATTGTGTCATCATCATCGATATACAAGCCAGATGGACCACTGAGTTGATTGACTTTTCTGCCTTGTCGATTTCCTCCAGCAACAGTGACACGATTTAGATTCCATTTGGCATTCAAAGGAATATCGTTTGAACTTGCCCTTAGTAGTATTCCAAAACTAATACAATAATGAAAACAAAAGTGAATGAAGTAAATAGGAGTAGAAGTAGAAGGACTCGATTTTGTGATTGATTGATTGAGAATGAAGCTCGCATTGTGACTATGATTAATACAAACAAAGAGAACAGAGAAAAAACAGTATATTACTGGTGACTTTTGAATGGTAAAATGATTTCAGATGAAAAAGTGGAATTCAAAAACTACATTCTCCTAAGCCAGATTCATTATGATGTTGATGATGATAATAAATCTTAGATAATGGTTGGAAATGAGAGAGTCATATGAAAAAACACGCGCGATTGCTTATGAACATTTTTTTGATGAACACCCAGTGAAAAATATTCTCTGATTTCAATCAAATTATTGTGCAACAAAATCCAATCCACAATCGGATTGATAATTTTGATTATGATCGATCACCATTTAACCCAAACTTGATGTTATTGCTAGCCCAATGGAAATTAATTTGATTATAATCGGATTGTTCTGTTGCACAATCCAAAATTATCAATCGATTGACAATCTGGATTTTACTGAAAAACAATCCGATTTCAATCCATTTAATTTCCACTGGGCTGGCAATGGCAGTAAGTTTGGGTTAAATGATGGTCGATTAAAATCAAAATTATCAATTCGATTGTGGATTGGATTTTGTTGCACAATAATTTGATTGAAATCAGAGAATATTTTTCACTGAGCAAGAGAAGAGGTTATGAGTGTCGGTCTTTGCTTTACCCACACCCACCCGTTGCTATTTTAAAATCAGTCATTGCCAACTGAAAAGAATATATTGATCAACAAATATTGAACAAAAAACTATTTGTCACTTTTTTTGTGTGATCTTATTTGCATTTTAATTGTTGTGTTTTTTATCCTTGTATTATTATTTCTAAAGAAGGCTTCATTGTTTTATATTCGATCTGTAAGTAAATTCCTTCAACTTATTCTTATTGATTTGATGCGAATTTGAGAAGAAATCAACAGATCGATGCTGGATGGTTGCTTAATGCGGAGAAAAGGGTGTGGGTGTGAGTGTGGGTGGGTGGATCTGGATGTGGATGTGAAGAGAAGACTCACACTCACACTGACAGTTCTCGAAAGTCGAAAGTTAGTTGTCTTTGTGGTGAGTTCCTTTCAAAAACAATTAATCCTCCTATATATATTCGTCAGGACGTACCTGACCCTGCAATGTTAAAGATAGATGTTTATGTCTGTTTTTATGTGTATTGTCTACGTTTAGTAAAAGAGCAATATTTGACAGATTATCCTAAGACTGGGTACATATAGCAGTGGCACATAATTGACTATCTATTGGCCAAATAACATATGTAAATAACCATTTATTTGCCATTCCAGACCTTAATATTGTACAAAGCGTGTAGTTTTGGATGAATTGCTATGCAAAAAAAGGCATCTAAGTTATGAACAATACTTAAAAGACTTGGTTGAAACGATATGGAATTCAAGTAGAAATGAAATATCTGATTTCATCAAAGATATTTTAAACATTTATCAAGCAATAATTATAATTCAATATAGAAACATACAAGGTGATAGAAAATTCTAAGCACTCTCAGAATATACAATTATATTTCTAAGAATGTATTTTTATATCGATTATATATTTGTAAAATGGATTGCTAGTTTTTTCTACTGGTATAGACTATATCATTAATAATAACCAGCAGCAAATTCACATACTTATATAAATTAATATTAAAATATCGTATCAAATCAGCATATTTATATAACAAACTGTGTAAATACTTAAGTATTTGAACTATCAGTATGAGAAGACATTTTAAGAAGGAATGAGCGAAATATTTAGTGGTAAAATTGATATATTTTCTTCTTAGATATTACAAAAAGGACATTTTTAGTCTTTTTTTATTCTGCATTTTGTCACATAAAAAAGCGACAGCAGGTCTAGTAAAAATTGTAGAGCAATCGATTTTTTAGGAAATGCTATATAAATCTATGTTCCAGAATTCCATTTTCCCGAAGTTTTTTGTTGATTGAAGAATGCTTATCATGTCTGAAAGGATAGTCTTTGAGATATAATAATACATTACTCAAAACACTTGAAAAATCACAGTAAGTTGTAGCCAAGACCACGCACAACTAGAATATATATGTTCATAGAGTTATGTAAGTGCATTCAATGACTTTTAGAACTTCGTTTTAATGTGGATCAGAACAAAAAAGAGAAAGAGAAAGAGCACGAGAACATAAGAAAAAAAGATGATAAAAAGAATAGAGAATCACTAAGTATATCCTCATTTTGTGTTCTACTGTTGTTGTTTATGAGATAACAAACGAAACATGGTGAAGATAAAAGAGCTACAACAATATGCCGTGCAATTATTAGCAGAATGTTTTGCAACATGTATTTTAATACTTATGGGTGAAGCTGGTATTGCTAATTACAAATTTGCTCGTCAAACTTCTCATTCTACACTTCCAATTCCTATTGCATTTGGCGTTGGTGTATATTTAGGTAATATTATGGCAGAAATAAGTAGATAAATCAGCGCAGCATTTGGAGTGATTAGTCTTTAGATACTATAATAAATTCGCTGTTTATTAAAAATACAGAAACAATGGGATCTAGCATTTATTGAACATTCATATTGATACAGTTGCTGTTCCACTCTATTGGTTTGAAAAATAAAAGACAGAATATCATGTTCAGTTTACGGCGACAAGAAAAACAGATGGCAACCTACAATTTCTTATAATGATGATCGAAATCTTGAAAAAAGCTCTCATAGGCGAATGATGTCATAATATCCAGTAGCTCGGTATCCAGATCTGGTAACTACTATGGCCAACAGGATATCGACCTTAATAGCTGACTATCTCTACAAAAAAAAGCTGAAGAATTTTAGTGGATTTGGTGCATTGCGGTCAGTGTGACACCGTTGTTTACTACGGAAATGTAAAGTCTACTGTGATCTGCTCTTGGATGCTATCGAAATGTCACCCTCATCCATAGTTGTCCCAGCATGCTACGGAGATGATGCCTTCACCATCAGTTGACCTTACATGCTTGTACGATATATGCATCAGCCTTAGCCGAACTGGATACAGAAAGTGAATATTTTAACGTTGTAACACCAAGTCAACTAAAATTCCTCAACCTTTAGAATATATAGTTCATGTTGGAGTAATAAAGTGATTAGTCTGTCGAGTAACGTGTAGGATAAACAAATGATTACACTTTAGCTGGATATTCTGTCAGCTATTATGACGTTTAAGTCTCGATACTGGGTGTAATAATATTATGATATATATGATGTTTCAGTGATGAATAGGGATTTAAAATAATTTCATTGTAAATTATGTAATTGGTTGACCATTTAATTCCAATAATCAATGCGCAGTAATTTTTTTCTAATAACTGATTTGATTTTATGAGTCCACAGATAGTATACAGAAATCTTTTTAAGTTTTTTGTTACATCAGTAGAACATTGATCTTTGATTTTTTTGAGTTTCATCGCAAGGACTTACCCTATCTATCTTGAAAACTTCAATACAATATACTTTTCCTTTCCCAATTAAGATGCCGTTACTTTTTTCTTTTTGAATAATGGCTAACAGAAATAGTTACGAGAAATTTTCTACAAACGGTTTTAGTTGTGAGACAAGTGAAGAAATACTTCATGAGCACAACATCAATTCGAATTATTTCATATTTTTAACTTGAATTGATTTTGTATATATAAATCATGAGGAAAAACAAACTAAAAACCTCGTATACCAGAGAGTGTTGTCAATGTGAATAATCGTCAACAACAGTAAATTCGAAGAGGTACAAATACCTTGTAATTGTATTACATGATATTAGTAATTCCATCAAGATAAACTTTTTTTGCTATGTCAATCATTCTAGTCTTATGTATTTCACCGGAAAAAAATTAATATGCATTCGAACGTACTATTCAAACTGGAAAGTAGTGCAAGGCTTTAGTAGAAAGGAAAAGCATCATTCTTTGTTTCATATTACGTAAGAATCTATTCGTTAATTTGTTTTTGTTATTTTAGCAATAATGATTAGTGCACCAATTACTGGTATAAGAAAAGCTTAAACATTACATTTAGCATAATTCCATATTGATTATTCTAGGTGCACATCTCAATCCTGCTATAAGCATATCATTAATGACTATTCGCAAGATCAACCCGTTACAATGTATTTTCTACATTATTGGTCAAACACTAGGTGCATTTTTAGGAGCTGCCTTGGTCTATCTTGTCTATAGGAAACAATTCGATGTATTTGATGGTGGTAGAAGACAAATAACAGGTCCCAATGGTACAGCTGATATTTTCTTCACAATGCCTGGCAAAGATATACCTCATTGGAATACATTTATCGATCAACTTGTTAGTACCGGTTTGCTGATGATCTTTATCATGACACTCACACAAGTATGATAGTAATTTCAAAATACATAATTGATTGTTTGATCATTCTATGTAGAAGTTTAATAATATGATATCGGAAGTAGCCAAACCATTTGCATTTGCATTTGCATTAATTATTACAGGTATTATTTGTGCATTTTCAATAAATGCTGGAGCTGCAATTAATCCTGTATGTATACATCCATCTGTGAAATATCATTCTTTCTCTTGATTATACTTCAGGCTCGTGATTTGGGTCCGCGTCTTTTTGGAGCATTTATCTATGGTTTGAATGATGTATTTCGTACCCATAACTACTTCTTTTGGGTACCAATCATAGGTCCAATTGTTGGAGCCATTCTTGCCGTATGGATCTATAAAAGTTATGTATGGATTATCCAGCGCTATGGTCATTTTTCCAACATTGAACATACCAACACTGGGAAAGAGATCAATCCCGAAGTCATAGAAACAAGTTATCCGTATAATTTATATGAACTTCAAAAACAACTAACAGAAGTGAACGCCTAAATCAAACTTATATAATCATGAATTGACGATATTGGTAATTTTAGTGCATTTTGTTTCGTATTCGATGCTTGTCGATTATATCGTCTGATTTCTTTTTGTCTAAGCATACAAATTACTGAATAATACGAACATACTCACTCGATGAAAGAAAGTGATTATTGGCTGAGAATAAGATCTAGCAATTGAAAAAAATTGCTGGACGGTAAAGGAACGATGAGGCGTTCATTCTTTTAAAAATTGTCAATTTAAAAAAAAAGTAAATTCTAAAAGAAAAATTAACATTCAACTTTATCATATTGTCATTTCTAAAATGAGTATAGAATATATAGAATAAAATGCACTAAATCAAGTTAAAATAATATTAGAAGAACGTAAGATTGTATTGCATAGAATGATTTTTTAAAGTCAGTTCGTTTTATGATAATATTCAAAGTTGACATGTTATATTCATTGTTGACTGTCCTAAATGTAATTAACCATGGAAATTAATATTTGATTAAATTGGGTGTGAGGTGTGGATCTCGCTCTTCGCTTTACCTGAATCCACACCCACACTCTAAACGTGATCCAAAAACTTCTGAAAATTTGCTTGACTTCTCCGCGCAGTGTGCTAAGCCACATATCACAACACTTCATGTGCTCGAAATTCAGAAAGGATCGAATTATCTTGTCATTGACAATTGCTTATACAATAACCGGAAGCGTGTATATATTGATTATATGTTCAATTTAGAGATCCATCAGAAGACCAACTACTTCTTTCTAAGAGTAAATGGTTCTATTCCATGTAACTATTTGGATAAGCAAATATTTTACAAAACTATTGCTGTGACACTGGGTAAATTATCTTCTTATAACTCTCAGACATGGTGTTCAGCTTGTAAAAGAAAGCTTAATCATAATAAAAAACGACTACAACTATACCGAGTATATAACTACTAACTAATTAAAAATAATAATAAGACGGTTTCTGTTATTGGGAAAGATAAAATCAATTCAATTCATAAGGTAAAACAAATTTAGTGTCGGGCTTAGATCGGTCAAAACAATTTCATGAATGCCATAATTTAGAGTCGATAGAATTTCTTTCTACTCTGGTTTTATTTTATCATACACAGAACAATAGAACTGACGAGGGAACCGTTCGAAGTGATTCAAAGCTTTTAAGCCGATATTTTGCCGATAAGTAGAGTTCAATGAGATTAGAAAAAGCCCAAAAGGACAAGGGCCCATGGGCCTTCCTTCTCGAGTTATGGTCATTTTACTGGGTTTATCACCTATGATACGATATTCACCGAAAAATCAAATTAAGGAGTTTCGACCTGAAATTTTGCCCACATGTAGGTCTTGTGGCTTGTATATTAGCCTGAAAGTTTAAGCCAAAACGAAAGCGCCATTCTCGAGATATTGCAATCTCAAGAAAACAGTGCCATGTTCCATACATACCAAAAGAATCGACTTTTCTTGAAAACTTAATATTTCGAGAACAGTGCATTCGTTTTGGCTTAAACTTTCAGGCTAATATACGGGCCACAAGACCTATATGTGGGCAAAATTTCAGGTCGAAACTCCTTAATTTGATTTTTCGGTAAATATCGTATCATAGGTGATAAACCCAGTAAAATGACCATAACTCGAGAAGAAAGGCCCATGGGCCCTTGTCCTTTTGGGCTTTTTCTAATCTCATTGGACTCTACTTATGGGCAAAATATCGGCTTAAAAGCTTTGAATCACTTCGAACGGTTCCCTCGTGAGTACATTTGTTGGACAATGTTTTATAGCAGATGCTTTAAAGACACTAGATAAAGAACCAAAGTAATATAATGGTCAGAACAAAATTATGATATCGTCAATCTATCGTTTTTTGTTACTTACGTGAAAACTGTAGTTCTGCGTGGTTTGTATGGTCTTCTGGTTTGAGAACAATTTAAATAATGTAAGTACAATAAAGAGCAAAAGCTTTTTAGATTGATGATAGTCAAATATTCTAACATGTTGTCATCAAGCAACAAAAATTTTTCACATTTTTATTCTATGTTCTTTTTAGAAGAATTCTGTTTTGAGTTTGACTCGGCGAAAAAAACAAACTTCGAAAAAACCCTTCCAAAGGTTCCTATTTTCAACGTTGTCCAACCAACATTTTTCATTATTTAGGGTGACCGTCCCTACTACCATCCATCTACCCCTATCTTTCGGTACTTCTATACGCATTCAAAAAAGTCAAAAATCAATTGCACGCATATAACTCAGTAGAAAATTATAGAAGACGATATTTCTTAAAAAAGTCGTCATTATCTGATCTCCATCTGATACAGAGTCAGCCGCGCACTCTATCGAAACGCTTCTTCAAAGGTTTTGTTGACGTTTTTCTGGAATCGACATTCGAAAAATAGATTTTATCAGATAAATCTGCTATCTATTGTCCATTTAAAAAAACGTAGGTGGATATTATTTGAATAACTTTTGATAGAAACAAGATAGAAAGCTGCAGTTTTTAGCTTGAAAAAGAGGGAGATACAAACACATCGAAGCAAGTACCATAAACTCTTTCGACGTGCTTTTTTTCAAGGGTTCCAATCAGTCTTTTTAAAAATCAACATGTCATATGAAGTGACTAGGGTGAATTTTCCATTACAAGGGGTGTACTCTAATCGTCAATTGAAGCTCTACAAAACTACGAAAGCCTTCGAGTTTTGGATTTACTCGTTTAAGAGTTATCGTCAGTCTAGTCTACATTCTTGACCAGTTTTTCAAGCAATTTCTGCAAAAAAATGCTTTTACTTTTTTCTTATGTTTCTAAAAAGTATTTTTCAATACTTTTCTTTTAAATTAATTTAAAAAAAACTAGAAACCATCTTAGAAAAATTTGCAGTGGGTGTCCCGATGCATCTTGATCTTCTCTTCGTAAAAATGAAAGCCGCAATGTTCTATCTTGTTTCTATCAAAGTTATTCGAAAAAGTATGCATCCATCTTTTTTAAAATGGACAATAGTTTAGAATGCTAACCTTTCATCTAAGGATATGTGAGTGTAGATTTACCTAAGATATATGTCAACATCCCCATCTACAATCAACACCCACAGCTTAATATTAGATCTAATCTCAATATATCTATTATAATTCATTTTTCATGACAGAGTAGGTTTTTTTGATGCTCCCATGTATCTCTTTCTGTGACCTGAGATGATTCGTGTTATTTTAAACTCGCTGTACAAAACTACTTTGTCTCCAGCATCTTCATATAAAATAATAATTATTATTATTGTTATTATTGCATGCTCTCATTGAAATTATCTATTTTGTCGTTTCAAATCAACATTCACACATGGAAACAAACAAAGGTGAAGCAATACCTTCAGTTCACAAACAAAAGAAAAAAAGAAATAACAAGATGGAATAATGTGTAAATGTATGAAGAAACAGAGAGCGAGCAACGACGCACAATTCTATAGAAATAGTTTTCAATTTTTTTTTCTGCAAAAAAAAAAGGAACAAAAGAAATTTTTTTTAAAGTTCTACAGAGACATTTCACTTAAGACACACAAACATACACACACACACACACACCACAGAGATAGAACATAATATGGAAATATAGAAGAAGAACAAAAAACGAAATAATAAGTCATTATGTCAAACGAGAAATTTAATGATAGATACTTCCTGAGTAAAAAATAATGAGATTCGAATGAAAGAAAATTATTGAACAAAATAAATAAACACAGGAAGAAAGCGCATGATGATCAAGTATTAAACAAAAAAAAAAGAAAACAAAAACTTATAGATGATGTTCCATACTCATATTTTCTTCATCAATATCATCAAATGTTAAATCAATAACTTCATCATTTTCATCTTCGTTATCTATTTTTGATAAAGATTCATGAATTATTTCTTTAACTCGACATTGATATATTTCATTTTCTTTTCTATTTTTTAAATAACGTCGTAGTATACTTAATGTTGTTTCATCTTGATGAAATGTTTTTGTATAAAGTTCACCTATAGCTGATATACATTCATGTAAATCACGTTGATTATATGATGTTATTTGTACATGACGATTCGTCCAACTTGCATCATTATTTAAAAGTCGATTAGCATATAAAAGACAACTAGCTGCTATCATCGATGAACGGTACGATGAAAATGGACGATCTTGTAAAAGTGATAATGTGCATAAATAACTTGTTAACATAATTAAACATTCATATTCATTATCACTATCTTTAGTTGATATTATTGGCTTAAAATATGTTAAATAATATTGCATAAATGTATAACACGTCGGTCCAGAAAGAGAAAAATTAAGCATCTACAGAAAATATTAAATTGTAAAATCATGAGATGAATACTTTTGATTAGTCTTTATTTTGTTCATCATAATCTTTTAATTAATTTTATAGTTCTAGTACTGGTACGTGATCGGAACTAATCGACATTCAACAAATACTTAAAAAGTCCCTGTATGATTTTCAAACTTTTTATATAAATAAGCTATTTAGTTTCTTCCATAAACAGTAATAAAAAAAAGAGATCATCTCATTTTCTTCAAAAGAAAAAAAAGTAATTCAGGATTCATTTCTTGTCTTTCTGCTTCTAGAATTCGATCAATTTCGTTAAGTATACGTTTGTTTTTCTATCACGATAATAGATGTTCACCTAATTAATAATTCATTTTCTTCTCCATGTATTTAGTTACTTGATTATACGATTCATCTTTTGAAAAGTCGGTACCTGAATTGATCCGATGAATTTCTCTCAATAATGAGCCAATTGTTTAAAAAAATATGGACTTTGAAGATGAAGGACGATTACACTCATTCATTTTTAATGAAAGTTCTCCGGTTTAAGCTAAAGAATTACTTTTAATAGGCCCAGAAGAAGCTTAGTATATCGGTCATGAAGAAAAACACTAAAGAAATGAATGCAGAGTTTCAAAACTTATGCACTGTCTCTAACCTCAAAACCTTCATTAGAATTTTTTCTTTATTTTTGAA